TTTTTGAATTAGTGTTTTCATATTCTTTGAGTAAATGCCCAGTAGTAGAATTACTGGATCATATGGTAAGTCTATTTTTAATTTTTTGAGGACCCTCCATACTGTTTCCCACAATGGCTGCACCAATTTGCATTCCCACCAACAGTGCATGTGGTTTCTTATTTTTTTGTTAATGTAACTTATAGTTTTACATTTTTTTCTTTATTAATTTTTTTACTGAGTCTCACAAATTTGAACATATACTTTTTTCTTTAATTTCCAGCAATGTGTGTATTTTCTCATGTTTCTTCTTTATTGTAAAGATAAATTGATAGTATATTTTTAAATTTCCAGTCATGCAAGGTATACTTTTTTAGTTTTATAATTGTTATTTTTAATTTTGTTGCATTATGATAAAAGTGTGTTAGTGTCTGTGTTAATTCTTTGGAACATAATGGGGTTTCCTTTTATGGTAGATATGGCTTCTTTTGTGAAAATTTCATATATACTTTAAAATAATCTGTATTTTCTATCTGATGGATAGGAAGTTCTCTATAGAGCTACTATCTGAAGTTTATTAATCCTATTCTTCAAATTTTCTATTCTTTTGCTTATTTATCTGCTTGATCTGTTTTTGAGAGGGTATCATAAATTTTCAACTGAAATGCTTATTTTTAAAAAATTGAATCTTAACATAAATACAGTAAAGTATCAAAATACAAGTGTACAGCCGAGTGACTTATCACAAAGTTAAAATACTAATGCAATTACTACCCCGGTTGTTAAATAGCACATTACTAGAACCCTAGAACTGCCTTTGTGTCCCCCCTCAATAACTAGAATCCATTTATCTCCAAAGATAATCATCAGAGTTCTTACCCCATAGAATCATTTACATTAAATATGTAAACTCAATCATATAGTATTTTATTTTGCATATATCTTCTAATATTATTGAGAGTACTCCATATTTTTGTACATAGATATTGTTCCTTTTTTATTTTATTTATTATTTTTTAAAGATTTTATGTATTTATTCATGAGAGACACAGAGCAAGAGAGAGAGGCAGAGACTCAGGCAGAGGGAGAAGCAGGTTCCCTGCAGGGAGCCCGATGCAGGACTCAATCCCAGGACCCCGGGGGCCACAACCTGAGCCAAAGGCAGGTGCTCAACCACCGAGCCACCCAGGTGCCCCAGTTGTGCCACATTCTTACCACTCCAGGTGTTGTCAATCTTTTTTATGTGAGCCACTATCATGGTGGGAATTAATATCATATTGTGGTTTTAGTCTTAATTCTCCTAGTGACTAATATGGTTTTGCAGTTTTTATAAAAATGCATTGGCCATTTTATCTAGTGTCTGTTAAAATTTCTTGCTGACTTTCTGTTAGGTTGCCTGTCTTATTCCTATTGATTTGTAGGAATTTATTACTTATTCTGGATATGGGATCTTTGTCAGTTGCAAATACTTTCTCTTATTTTATGGTTCGCTTTTACAATCTCTTAATCATATCTTTTGATGAACTGGAATTCTTAATTTTTTATATATTTCAATGTATCTCCCTTTTATGATTGGTACTTTGTATGTCTCTTTTAAGAAATCCCTGCTTACACCTATCGAAGAATATATTTTATGTTTTCTTCTAGATCAGCACCGTATATTAGAGATATAGTGTGAACCAGATTTTGTACTATAGACATAATTTTATTTATTTATTTATTTATTTATTTATTTATTTATTTATTTGAAAGAGAGAGAGAGAGAGAGAGAGAGAGAGAGAACACAAGCAGAAGGGGCAGAGGGAGAGGGAAGGAAAGAGAATGTTAAGCAGACTCCATGCCCAGCACAGAGCCTGACACGGGGCTCCATCTCATGACCCTGAGATTGTGACGTCAGGTAAAATTGAGAGTTGGACACTTTAGGGACTGAATCATCTTCGATGGCCCATAAAATTTTAATTTTGAATAGTTATGTTAAAAAATCGAATGAAACAGGCGAAATTAATATGAATAATACAATTACTGACAAAGGTTTTTTGTTCTTTTTCTAAAAATAGGACTTCAAAATCTGTGGCTGTTTTATACTTACTGCACATCCTAGTTGGAGTAGCCACATTTCAAATTCTGACGATCACATGTGTCTAATGACTATAATTTATCAGCCCATTTTAGAGGCTTTGACGATACACCATTCACATTTGGCTCTACCACCCATGTTGATGTTTTCTGGTGTGACATGAGGTACCATACCTAACAAGAAAACTATGTAGCGTATGGGATTGAAGGAAGATCTTCAGGATCTAAAGCCAATCTGAGGTCCCTCCTTAGGAACTAAATCAGGCCTTGATGATTCTGAGACTTTGAAAGTGCCTCTCACCTCTGCATATTCTCTTTTATTTCATGAGGATTTACTCAACATGGCAAGGCACCAGTTGTTCTGGGTCACATCTTTACAACTTCCAATAGTTGAGAAATGATCAATCTAATCCTGTTTAGTAATGTCCTGGCTCAGGTCACATTCCTTCTCCATGGCAGCCAGGAAAAGGATATTTTTGGCCAGGATGTTACATGCCCATATTTATAATCATGGAACAGAAATTATGACCAGAAAAGGGAAGCCACCACACTATATCACATCTGGTCCTTTCATAAGATACTTTCAGAGAGTGGAAGTGATCCCTTATGCACAGAGGGCACTAGATAAATATTTGTAAATAGCACTCATCTGACAGGAATGCGTAAAATGAGGTCTGAAGCAAGGGGAAGAATATAAATGCACTTGCTTAGAATTCATTTTTATGATACACAAATATTTGAAGACTATAAATTCTGAGTTTATAAGTTTAGGACTGTTGATTATAGGGGTTTGTTAACATTGAAGGTAACTCAACATCTTCTTTGTAACCTGAATTTTCTGCAAATTCGTGGATGGTTGGGAGAGGTATGTGTGTCTTTGGGGACTAGGTGTGGCTTTGCAGAATTTTTGAATATGACTCTCTTACAGGTTTGTACTATTCTTTTGGCCATTAGTGAGACTTCAAGTTTTCTTCAAAAATACTGTCTTAAATACTGCAAAGGAGGAGAATGTTATTTGGTATTGAAAGAACATTGTTTCTTCTTGTAGAATTTATCTCACTTCCTGTCTGAGTGGGATCCTTAGTCTCAATTCATGAGTTTAGTCATTTAGCACCAAATGTAAAATCGAAGTGTGGTTCCATGTGAGGTAAGGATGAAAAGTTACTCCCTGGGATTTCTAGTGTTCTACTTTTTAACTCCTATTTCTTCAACACTGATCTGTTCTCCTTTTAGGGAAACAGAGACCTCTCCTCTCACTTGTGCGAGGGGAAGGGCACTAGAGGGAGAAGTGAAGAAGAATCTTCTTTTAGCTTCCTTTTTTTTTTTTTTTTTGAGGAGTATCAACACGATTGAATGAGGGACCCCATCCATTTTTACTTTATGAAAAGCATAACAACTGGGAAAAATTATTTATTTTGGCTGTATAAAAACCCTAACTTGGAATACCCAAAGCAAATTATCTCGGATTTAGGTGGATAATTTAAAAAGGAAATGATAGAGGCTCAACTATTTGGATGGGAGAGCACGGGTATCGTAGAATTTTCTCAGGTGCCAAAATAACAGAAATGGTTCTAACCTTCTCTGAGCCACTTTCCCAGCGGGTGTTTCTTGGTTCCTCGTGAAGCTCCCACCCACCTCATTCTCACTTCTCACACACAATTTTTTTGTTTGTTGGGACATTTAGAAGTGTATTTAATGGCATTTGTAAGTATAGCTGCAGGGTAATAATGTTCAATTCTTGTCACTGAATCTAAAGCCACCTATGACCACAGCCCGAAGTGGTATATTGGATTCCTTTTCTTTTGAAATTTGTTCTATAGACACTAGATTAAGAAAGTTAGTAGGGTTTGAAAATGTTTTGTCTTTCTTACTGTTTTAAGTAAACATTTTAACCTTAGCTTATATTTCTAACACGTTTTATTTTTTATTTATTTTATTTTATTTTATTTTATTATTTTTTTATTTTTTAAAGATTTATGTATTTATTCAGGAGAGACGCAGAGGGAGAAGCAGGCTCCCCACAGGGAGCCCGATGTGGGACTCGATCCCAGATCCTGGGATCACACCCTGAGCTGAAGGGAGATTCTCAACAGCTGAGCCACCCAGGCGTCCCTCCGATTCATTTCAAATTTATAATCATGATATGACAATAGTTCATACACTCCAGAAAAAAAAATCATATGTAATATCACGCCTTCCAAAACTGTCATCCTATGCATTCCTTTTCAAGTTTTTGGAATACGCACAGTTTTTTATGTCCTTGTAAGCATCGCTTCATTTTGAAATGAACTTTTTCGGTAAAGTCAACGAAACAACATGCAAATGAAGATTTTGTATCTTTTACTTGGTTCAGGGGATCACCTAGAGCCGACGAGAATCAGAAAATGGCTATTTTCTGGAGTCACGGTGATTTTTACATCCGTCACACTCAGGTGATGCTTTTAAATACGCATTTATTACAGGTTCCAAGAAATAGTTTTTGTTTTTTACTGTTGAGTAAGTCTCACAGTTGGCATGTGCAGGACTGCGGCTACACAGGCTCATTCTAGCTCTGTAAATCCTAGATTTGACTCTATTACTCAGAGACCCAAAAAAAAAAAAAAAAAAAAAACTAAGCAGGAACTCTTATGAAATCTTAAAATCTTTTTTTGCTGTGAACAATGCAGCTTTTTCGGGCTGTGCTCCATTATCAGAGCAGCTGCGTGTGCAATGTTTTACGCGTGAGTTAAAAAAAAAAAAAAAAAGCAAACTCCTTTACAAAGCCGTGATCATTTCCTGTTTCATTTTTCATTTTCTCTTCGAGTGAAGCGCTTTTGTCCCTCTCTAGGAGTTGCTTTAAATCTCTGGGAAGGTCTGTTCCGAATTTACTACTTCTGGGTTGGTTAAGATCCCTTTTAAGTGTGTGCTTTGTTCTCTGAGAAGCTTAGGTCAGTTGAGCAACATGCTGCTAATGTTGAAAAAAAAAAAAAAAAGAGCTGAGTAATGCTGGAGCCTTCTCATGTGGCTGATGCAAACCTGGAGAATTTGCATCATCATTAAGCTGGAATAAGTTGGTGTGACAGGCAGGAGCTTAAATACCAGCCCATGAGGAAGCGAGCGGTCTGTAAGGCTAGGGCAGCAGCAGCAGCAGCTCAGCAGCAGAGCTAGTGGGAGGTAGGGGAGGAGCGGGAGCACCATGAGCACACAGGTGTTTCTGAGCAGTAATTAGATAGCTGGGAGGGAGCAAAGTACCCCCTTGGAGTCCTTACCTGTGCACCCAGTAGCACTGAGACAGACAACCTGCAAGCAGAGAGGAAGAGCTTTGGGTCAGTCCCCCCAAGAGCCACCAAAGGTGAAAGTTTGGGGGGGCTGTTTATTTTTTCCCCTCTGTTTCACTCTTCCCTGAGTGTCACTACCATGGTCAGGAAGCCTGTGGTGTCCACCATCTCCAGTGGAGGTTACCTGCAGGGGAATGTTAATGGGAAGCTGCCATCCTTGGGTGGCAAGGAGCCCCCCGGGCAGGAGAAAGTGGTGCTGAAGAAGAAGATCACTTTGCTGAGGGGCATCTCCATCATCATTGGCACCATCATTGGAGCAGGAATCTTCATCTCTCCTAAGGGCGTGCTCCAGAACACGGGCAGCGTGGGCATGTCTCTGGTGATCTGGACAGTCTGTGGGGTCCTGTCCCTGTTTGGTGAGTGCAGCTTCTTCTCCGGGGGGTTGTCTGTGGCACTGGGCGGTTGGCTCTCTGGGAAAGCAGAGGGTGGTTCTTCATGAACGTTTGGAATGAACAACACGGGCTACATCAGATTTTCTGAGGCTTGCTTCAGTTTGCAGGGGACCCAAACACTGTCCGCCCCTGGCAGGACCCTGAATTCTTCCCAATTGCTTCCTGCTGCCCTCACCCTCTTTTCCTGGCCAAGACGGGCTATTTTCTGACTTTCTCTGGGGTGGTGAGAGCCAAGGCTGACTTCTGATGACCCAGGAAAATACAGGCGAACTTTCTGCACCAGGCAGTTTGCTTAGTTGCGCGTCTTGGCAGCTGGCACGCTGAATGAAACACCTGTGAAGTGAAAGCCGGCATGGCCTATTTAGACACAGAAATGAGTATTCAGCAGAAGTGGTACGGTGTTTTTATTGCCAAAACAAACCTGGGGAGGTGGGGGGAATGGGGTGCAGTCCTTTTTAACTTTTTCAGTTGGTGTGCGTGTCCTGCCATGATATTTTTTTCAAAAGTCCTGCCATGATAATATGTGTTGGTGGCACATAACTCGGTTCCTGTGATAAGTGGGACTATTGCAAGGGTCCGAGCATATTTCATTTTTTTTTCCAGTCTTTCACCTCTTCCTAACACCTGTAAACTTTTGCAATATAAATAGTAAAACTGGAATTGGGTGTTAGCTCGCCCTGCTTGCCCAGATCTGTTTCCTTCATTTATAGTTCGCTTGGTCCTCGGGGACGTAGATACCTTGTCCACCTGTCCACTGAGTCAGTCTGAACAGACCTAGAGGTAGAAGTGTGATTCTCAATTATGCTTCAAAACCTAGATCTCTTGTGTGGATCTGCTGTTAATAGCAAAGAGGTAATAAATACCTTTCATGGGGTGGGCAAGTTACTAGAAAGCTACCTGAGTTAGTTATAAAGGTGACAAAAACTGGTGGATGCTGAAAAAAAAATTAAATTTGACTTATACTATGTGGTAAATGAATAAGACGTATTTATTTGCTCTATTGTGGCAGGTAGTGTGTTTTAATTCTGAAAGGCCCTATTCTTTAAAGGTACTAATACAAAGCTAACTCTAGGGTTAAGCATTTACTCTTGGCCCTACGTGTACCAATCCATTCATTCTTAAGGCCTTGTGATGTTTCAGTGAATTACTTTGGGTGTGCATCTAGAGAACCCACATTTCCATTATTAGGAAGAAGGTATTTCAAGTAAAACTTGTTAAAACAAAGCCTTAGTATAGGAAGATCTGTAGGACAATTATTTTTAGGTTTTATAAAGAGTTTGTGGTCTATAGGGTTCTGGTGTATACATTGAGACTTTATGCCCCTCAGTCTTTAATCTTCTACAAATACTTGGTAAATTGAGAATAAATCAATGTCTAATAGGAAAAACCATAACCTATTTCCTGGACTTTTCATACTTACATACATGCAGCTCCCACTGTGTGATTTGATGTGCGTACACAATAAAAGGTTCTTCAGATATGGTAAAGGGGATTGGGCTGAGGATTAAACTAGTTAAACTGCTACTGTACTATGAAAATATGGTTCTGTGCGAGTAATTCAACTTAAGCAGACACTCAGGAAAAAAAAATTTAAAAGGACTAGCTAAGGTTACACTTGAGTTGGTATCCTTTGATTGCTAATCGCAGGGAGCATACTCCTATATTAATCTAATTATCTGTATTTACATTTTATTTGTCATTTAAGTTCCTAGGAGCTTTTGACAGGAGCGCCTTCCTAACAGGAAGCAAAGCAAAATGTAAGGAAAACAAATCCTTTCTCTCAAAACTCTAGAACTCTGGGACTAAGAGTAAAGAATCTGTATATTTGGTTTACAATTTTTTTTTTTTAAAGCCAGGGTCAATACATGGATTTTTACATCCTGTTTTGAACTTCTTTCATCCGGGTAAAATGGTTATGGAGCTTGAGACTTTTAAATGAAACTCTCATTCCTCCAGAACTCAATTTAAACCTAGGGCAACCGTCCTGGAGTTTCAGCAAAGCGTTCACAGGTCTAGGTATTGATTCTCTGGCAATAAATTCTGAGGTACTTAAGACTTTCCAATAACATTTTATATTGGAAGCTTTTTTTTTTTTTGCACAGGCTACCAACGTGGCAACTGGTTTCCAGCAGAGTGAACAGCAACTAGTTACGATTCATTACAAATAGGCCAGCTATATATTAGTGATCCTCAAATATCAACCTGCAAGCTAGTTACTTTAAAACCACCTGTACAAATTTCTAAAATAATGTATTTCTTTGGATCCCTCTCTTGGAGAGTCTGGACTTCCTTGGTAGAGAACAAGTGTGGGTTATGGCCTTAGAGTCTGTTCTTTGTGTTTAAATAAAACAATTTACTTCCAGGTGATTCCAATACAGAGCTAGGCTCAGGACTAGGATTAATGATACTCAGATTTCACTGAAAATCCAAATTTTACTCCTGTTGGACAGCTCTGCCTGAAGCTTTACTGATCAGTAATAATTTCCCACACTTGTAGTCTCTGCAGTAGCTCCTCCCAAAATTGTGTTCCATTTGAGTTCTTGGTAGTATGAATAGAATTTTTCACATAGTGTCAAGATGTGTTTTTTTTTTTTTTCATTTTCTTGACAGTTCATTGCTCAAATAGTAAGTATATTTCGTGAGGTGTTCTGTGTATCAGGCCCAGTACTGTCCTTGGCACCCATTATCCCATGTATACACACAACTCCCTTATGGGGTAAGAATTGAGACCTCCGTTTTATAGAGGAAGAAATGTAGGTTTGGGGAGGTTCTAGACCTTGTTCAAGTCCATGTGAATTGTATTGCTGAATGTTAAAATTGCTGTTTATCATGATTTTTTACTTAATATACACAACTTATAGCATCTGTTTCTAAACAGTATGTTGTTTCAACTACTCAGAAGTGTGCACTTCAGAAACAAAATCCAAGAAAACCTTTTCTAGAAATAGAATATTGGGGTCAAAATTCATTTTGTCGACAAACCATATCCTACAAATTAAATGTGGTCTCGTGAGGCCTAGAGTCTATACTTTTCTGAAGAACAAGTAAATCTTGTTAAATTTGATGTGCAACACAAATATCATTTATTAAAAAGATTCTTAATATAATGAGGTCAATTTGAGATAATTCCTTGTCTTGGTGTGTAGTTCCTTTAAAAATAGGTTAGTATGATTGGCACCTGTCTTCTCTTTTCCTCAGGGTTGAGAATCAAAATTCTTAATAGTATGATACTATTTTAGAAGTCTGTCTTTACCATTTCAAATAAAATTATATTGTTTGAATACAACGAACTGAATCTCAAATGTGAGGAAGTTATAAGGGGAATTTGGTGGCTTCTAACAATCAGATGACTGTTTTTTTCTCTTGAAATAAGGACTTCATTCTGACCAAATGATACAGTAACATAAACATTATTGTATCAGTTCTTCTATTGGATGAGTTGGTAATGTGTTAATTATGTGCCTTTTTACTATGGACATTTCACAGGAGCCTTGTCTTATGCTGAATTGGGAACAACTATAAAGAAATCTGGTGGTCATTATACATATATTCTGGAAGTGTTTGGCCCATTGCCAGCTTTTGTACGAGTCTGGGTGGAACTGCTCATAATACGGTAAGAGCATAGATTAAAAAAAATTAAGGAAAAATAAATCCACTCATTATACCCTTCTTTAAATCATCTTGATCATTTTTGACTGATTAGAAATAGGCATATCATGTGACCATGTTGTAAGCATGTCTATTTCAGGATTTGAAATCTGTGATGAAGCACTTCTGTCAATTAATGTTTTTATTTTATTTTATTTTATTTTATATTTTATTTTATTTATTTTATTTTCAATTAATGTTTTTAATGCAGTTTTGTCACTGGCAGGAGTTCTCTATCCATGCCAGATTTTAAAGTGTCTGATTATCTTTAATATTCAATCATTCACTAACATTTCTAGAAAATATGTTGACCTGAAAGGATATGGAGCATAAAAAGCTACCTTAATAAATCATACCTTTTGACTGGCCAGGCAAAATTAAATGTTAAGCCAGTAGTTGGAATTTTTCTTCTTGTGGATTGCATCATCATTTAACTTCACTCAATTGTGACTAGGAAACTTCTGTGCCTAACAACTTAGTGTGTCATTGAGTTTACTACTTTACGAAAAGAAAAAAAAAAAAAAAAAAAAACAACAAGCCAAACCTTGAATGACTCACTTCCTCTTGTTAAGCAAATCAGTGAACTATAATGGAAAAAAAAAATTATTGTTGTAAAACTTGTTCTCCTTTCTAATTGGGTTTAAAATCAAACCAAATAGTGCTAAGTCACTCTGAATAGCAAATTTCCTTTGCCTTTGTGGGAAATTTGTGATGTCATATGTGAAGTTTAGAGTATAATAGTTCCTTAAAGCTAACTCCTACCGTAGAGTGTGACTTGCACATTCTGATTGTAGAGTTTAACAGAAATAACTGGAGAAACTTGCTCTTACTGTAAACTTATCAGACATACACAGCTGAGAGCTCCTGTGAGCTTTTAGCCTAATATTTGGGGCATAAGTAGCAAATGCAGACCTAGTAAATATTGATTTAACACTAGTCACAATTTTTATAGTTGTGGGCATCTCTTTTTTAACAAGAAGCTTAGAGTAGTATTTGCCTCTATACGTCTGTTCTCATGCTAGCCAATTCTGCATGATTTAAAACTTGTTATAATGAAATAATGATAAAGAAGTATTCTGGACCTTTTCTAAAATCTGGAATTTGCCTGGGATGTATCACCTGCTCTTTTTTGATTTATCTGGATATTACTTTTCAAAGGTTAACCTAAATCCTATCTTTTCCACAGTTAATTTCCTGTTTTCGCTAGTTTATATTTATTTTCTCTCTTAATTCTTCTGAAAAAAAAATGCAGTCTCTCTTTCTTACTTGACATTCAGCATGGTATCTTGTATTCTTACTTAATATTTCAGGTGTCTATGTTGTTTCCTCCGTTAAAAATCCAGGCATTTTAAATACATAAAATGTATTTTATCTCACACTTTTTAAAACCATTATACTCCTTAATCAGTATCCTGAGTATCATAGATGGTAAATTCTTTTTGAGCAGCAATGTATTTGTTGCATGGCTTTGGCTGATTGCTTGGCATTATGATAAGCATGATCACTCTGTTCATAACAGCACAGATACAGTGCTCATTCACTTATTTTTTCATTCCTTAAACAGCTGCTGAGTGGTGCATGGTAAGTTAAAGAGATCTAAAGTAGAATGAGCCTCAATACCTGTACTTAAAATTATGCTTCAGACTTGCCAGGGATAATCTGTAGTACACAGATTTCAAGAAAAGAAATATTATATATCAGTACATAGTGGGGATCATTAGATTGAATTCACATATTCACCATATATTCAAATATTTACTGGGCTTCCACTTAGGATAGATACTGTACCAAATACTGGGAATAAAATAGTGACTAAGATGGACATAATTTGGAACTCGTGGAGCTCAGGGGCACATGAGGGAAATAGTTATCAATCAAGAAATCACATAGTAAATATAAAGTTGCTACTGTGAAAAGCAGTGTGAAAGGGAAGCCATGAGATTCACTAAGAGCATGTACTTGGGGAGCTCTCATCTAGAGGGTTAAAAGAATTTCCTTGAGCAAAAATAGATTGAACAAAGATACCGGGTATAAAAAAAAAACTATCAATGAGTTAAAGGGGCTTCAGGCAAAAGGTGTATTCAGCTCCTTCTAGTTGGAAGAAGCAAACCAAAAGGAAGGGAATGCTTAGACCAGATGGAGCCATAACTGAAGGGTTTTTGCATATCCTGAGCATGTTTTGAAAGTACTAAAATGACGTGATCAGACTTTAATTTATACATTAAAATTTGCAAGTGATGAAGAATTGGAAAAATCATCTTTTGGGAGTAGAAGAAGAGAGGGTCTTTAGGAAATGAAAATCAGAAAATGTATGCTGCTTTCTAGTATAAGCAGGGCAACATTGGAACATGATAGTTGTTAGTTTTCTGACAATCTAGGTATTGAACATGGGTGCTGAGTAACTATGAGAAGAGAAGCTGAGAGCAAAGATTGGCAGGAGAAATTATATAATTCTATGAACTTGCCTGTGTATGGAAAGACTATGCATTTGTATAGAAATATAGTTAGAGTCACATGTCATTTTCTCATAGAAATATTAGAAGAATTAGAGTAGAATGGTTTGTTACCTATTTTACTATAGACCTGAACTTATTTAATTTTCTTATCTCATGCATGTTTTCTAAATTGTATAAAATCACAACAGTGTTTTTATTTTTCAACTTATACTCTGCATCTAAATGTTTTTATAAAATTAAGAATAATTACTTGGCTTGTCAAGTTTTTGCTGTACCAGAAAAATAAGAGGAATACAATGTCAAGGACAAAAGTGTATATTTGCAATGAACACTTATTAATAATAATTTTTGAAGTTGAATTTTGTGTTCATTTTCCTGACTGTGCCCCATTCATTCGATCTGCTCCCTTGACCCATTCATGCTGCAGCTGGAGTTTAGTTGTTGACTTATTGGGAGGACTGCTTCTTGTAAAGCCCAGCTTTGTCAAGATCTCAATAAACTAGATTTTTAAGAAAAAAAAAAAAAGTCAAATCCAGAAGAGCAGTGACAAAACTGATAGCACAAAGACTTGCTTCCATGGACATGGGAAGTTAAAAATAGCCACTGAAGTTATAGGCAATATTTTCCTTGGAATGTCTATGACAACCTACTCAAATATGGAGTTTGGAAAATTATAGACTTTATTTATTTATTTATTTATTTATTTATTTATTTATTTATTTATTTATAAAATATTTTATTTATCCATGAAAGGCACAGAGAGCCAGAGACACAGGCAGAGGGAGAAGCAGACTCCATACAGGGAGCCCGATGTGGGATTTGATCCCAGAACCCCAAGATCATGCCCTGAGCCAAGGCAGATGCTCAACCACTGAGCTACTCAGACATCCCTAGACTTTTATACTTAGCATGTTCTTTATGTTGAATAACATTACCTCAAGTTAGAGAAAGTTCAGTAAAGATGCTACTTATATTTTCCTTTGTTAACCTAATTTTTTTTCCAGCCCTGCAGCCACTGCTGTGATTTCTCTGGCATTTGGACGCTATATTCTGGAACCATTTTTTATTCAATGTGAAATTCCTGAACTTGCAATCAAGCTCATTACAGCTGTGGGCATAAGTGAGTATCATTGGTACAAATATGAAAAAGAAAAAAAAAAGCAAAAGTAATTGATGACAAAATTTCTGTAGATTTTTTGCATGATGGAATTGCTGTTCACATCATGCTCTTTTGGTGTTCAGTTCCTTGCCCAATTTGTTTTGGAAAATAAAGAAAAGAATGAGGATTCAGCATGATCTCTGGTATTACCTTTTATGTCAGTTTTACACTGGGTCAATAGATATGATGGCTAATCTTTTGATATAGGCAAACAAAAACCACCTTATTAGTAAAATAATACATGAAGAGAGAATTTTACAGATGAAATCCCAATTATTTTATGGATTTTTGAATTATAAATTATCCTTCCTCCCTGATAATATGTTGAATGATAACTCGCTTATCCTCATAGAGTGCTCCTCATGTGTTAGGTGTGTATGTTGTACTCAGACATTTTATAATGTTAGCAAACTGTCACTCCCAGTGTTACAGTTTTAGCTGTCCATTGATGGTCATGATAAAAATCTGCTTTTAATATTTGATTATTGGTCGCGCTTCTCAAAATAGGTGTCCAAATTAGGAATTTGTTCATTTTTATCAATGTGCTTTAAATACTAGACATTTTTTTAAAAGACATGAAAAAGAGGAATATACACAACATTCCATAAGTGGTATGAAGCCAAACCTTTGAATATTATGGAAAACAATAACTTAATTCTAGATGCTAACTGAGCCAATTTTAAGAATCAGTATAATCATGTTTGATTAAGTTCTATTTGGAAATGGAAAATGACACAGGAATAACTGAATTTCATACCTAATGAAAAAATTTTCATTTATGCACCGTTATGGTATTTCAATAGAACACTGAAGAGAACAACGCACATTTACTGGTAGGGAAGTGAGTGGCTTGTTTGCAGGAAATAACTAGGAATTCGACATAAAAATATCTCTAGTGTAGATACATATATTTTGAACATAGGTTCATTCTGGATTTTCTATCTTATCTACCAAACATGTACACACCATTATCCTGTGAAATCTTTAAAGAAAGATTTCTGAGTTCTGGAGGGGTGATGGCAAACTTAACTCATCATGGTCCCTAACAGACACTACAGATATGAGACTTAGGGACAAATCATCAAAGCTTTCCACACTTCAGTGTTCTTACCTGTAAATCCTGCAGAGTCTCATAGGGTGTTTTGTGAAGAGTAAATGATATTAGCTGAGACAACAAACATATAGTATTTTGGGTGATGCCTGCAATTTATTAAGAACAAATTACAAATGGTAGCTGTTGGTACTCTTGTGGGAAAACATCATTTGAAGTTCCACGAGACCAGGGGCTCTTTTGCTGCATATGTCTAGGCCTTCACATGGTTTTTGTGTGGTGTTCGTGCTCAATAAATATTTGTTGACTCACTGATTTTGAGAGAAGACTTCTAAGAATTTTTCTCTAGCAGAAAAATCTACTTGTTAAACCTGGAGGATTATACGTCTTCAGTTTTCTCAGGTAGTAGGACAATGGCAGTAAATGAAATAGAGTTTGTTCAATGTGATCTTCAGATCTAATACCATGAGCTTTTGTGGGATGAACTATATTAGCATAGTAGTTACAGCTCTGGCTCTGAAGGCAAACAGCCTGGAATTGAAACTTATTGTGATAATTTCTTAGTTATATGATTTGGAGCTAAATATTAAACCTTCTTAAGCATTACTTTTATTTATTGGTAAAATATCTGCGAAAATATAATCTGTCTTGGATGGCTGCAGAAAGATGAAATTACATCAGGTTTTTAAAGCCTTAAGCAAAGTGCCTTGCCTGTAGAAAGTTCTTGATAAATCTGGTATCCCACTAAGGGATTGGACTAACAGCCATTATTATAGCCATGATATTTTTGTCCCTAAAATGACTGAGGCAGAATAGTAGCATGATTAGTATATTCAAAAAGGAGATGAAGGTAATGTTTTTGAGAGATTTGTAGATTTACAATAGGAGTTTTAAAAGTTATCTCTAGTGTAGACATGTGTATTCCTCAATTTAATTAAAAGAATCAGCAAACTTTCAGTAGATTTTATGTAAACATTTACAAGTTCACTAATACTGCCTCTTTGGACTTCAAATTAGATGGATAATCACGACATAGTGCTATTTTGGTAAGGTCTGGATGGCTCTTTTTCTTGATCTCAATTCTTTTATTTATTTATTTATTTATTTATTTATTTATTTATTTACTTATTTATTTATTTACTTACTTATTTATTTATTACCTCTGGTTGAGAACCCCTGCTTTATATCCAGGAAACTCTCTTTTCTTTTTAAAGATTTTATTTATTTATCCATGAGACACACACACACAGAGAGAGAGACAGAGAGAGAGTGAGAGAGAGAGAGGCAGAGACAGGCAGAGGGAGAAGCAGGCTCCATGCAGGGAGCCCGACGTGGGACTCGATCCCGGGTCTTCAGGATCACACCCTGGACCAAAGGTGGCACTAAACAGCTGAGCCACCTGGGCTGCCCCTATTCAACTTTTTGAAGGGAAAATTTGTATTTTGGAGGAGAGAATGGAAACTCTTAAAACCAAAATTTTAGTACAGTTATAGGTAAAGCTAACTAAGAAAGTTGTGCTTAAGCAAACTCCTGTAGTAGAGATTGGTGATAGAATAGGTCACAAAGCCTAAGTAAATCTTGGATGCGCGTAGACATCTTCTTCATTTTTGCCATTAATTATAATATTAGCTTACAAATGTTGATGTTCTATTTGCAAACTTGAGATTCTGAGGCAATCCATTCCTACAATCCGAAACAGTGAAAGAGAAAACAAGGCATTGTTAGGACTCAGTGGTAGGTAATATAAATCAGTGGCTTACCTGGGAGAGTGAAACTATCTTCTAGAAGGATTTAGCTTTAATGGAGCAAAAGGGTGGACATGGAAATGCAGAAGGAGAAATTTACCTGGGGGCAAATCTCTCTTATTCTGTATTGTTGAAAGTGAGTATGGGTGATTTTCTGCCTGCAAAGGGTGGAAGGTTAGTGAGATGTGGAAAATAGGGTTTAATGGCACAAATTGCTTCCATGTCTTCCTTGGGGAAGGAAACAGTTTGTGATAGCTTGAAGTCTCTAGTTCAAGTGTAGAAGAAGAGCAAACCTGAAGGATCTTGTCCTAATCAAGTCACAGAAAAAAAGGAATTTCAAGCTTTGTGAAATGTTAACCAATCACTTGAGAAGTGACGGTGAGGTGAGGTAGGAATAGGAAGTTACTAAATGCTAATTTATCTGCCCTTTGTTGAAAATACTTGCTATCATTTCTGGCAATTTAATAAAGAGAAAAAGTTTTTGCTTATCCAGAACCCTGTTCATTCAGGTAAACACGGCAGGCACAGGGAAGTCTAGCTGGGAAATCTTATCTATTCACATTAAGTGTTCTCCTCTAGCCCCGTCTGGACATCACACCTATGCAACATGAGCAAGTTTCACTGTCCACGTAGCTTTGGTAAGCATTGAAGGATGCTCAGTCCTTACAATGGTATCCAGTCTTTTGTTCTGGTCTCCTGAAACTATTCCCTATACAACTATACATTTGGATGGCAGAGCATTATAATAAAAATACTTTTTTTTTTTCAAAATATGAAATCTACCCCGAGATCCATTCCTAACAATCTCTGAGTCTCAATATCCTTCCTTGATTAGTGTCTATAGGTGAGTAAGGAGCCCCAGCCTGCTTCTCATACCTTGTGGGAATAATTAAGAGGAAGCAAAGAAAATCACACTTGTGACTGTATTATAAGAAAAAAGTAGCCAGTTCCATTGCTATATCACTGTTCTTACTTTTCCCACATTATTTTCCTGGCGTCATTGAATTCCATGAAAGAGAATCAAGGATCGGTTCTGGGCTAGGATTTCGAATATAGCCTGTGGAGTGGTTTTGCCTAAATATTCTGACGTCTGGCTCCACCTCTTCCTTTTCGACCACACCCAGTTTACCAAGACAATGAATTCGTAGGTAGAGATATATGAACACTGAAAAACAATAACCATATCCTTCAGAGGAACAACAAATAAAATGTAGGATCAAAGTATCCTGAAATCCCAGCCAACATAAACATGAACCTTGGCAGGGAGGCAGAGCCACCAGGAGTTTGAGAGAACTAGTGAGATCATCTATGTCTTTGGAGCTACTTCCTCATTGTTACCTGTGAGCTAGGGGTAAAAGTGTGGACTCTAAAGTCAGTTTACCTAGGCTCTAGTCCTATCTTTATGCTTACCTGTGTGAACATAAACAAGTTAAATACTATCCCAGGGTTCAGGTAGCCATTTGAAGAATGAAGACAATGATGGTGACCCCAACATAGAGAGACGAGGATTAAATAACATTATCCATATAAAGTCTTTGTTCAATGTCTGCCATTTAATAATCGTTCACAATTATTTAATGCTTACCATTTTTATTCTCAATATCGGGATCCTAGATATAGACCATCTCTCTTTTTTTTAAAGATGTTTATAGCTGGAGGGGTTTATCCTCTCGGAAATCAAGAAACTCAGGAAATGAATGCTAACAAAGGGAAAGGTAACCTAGGCAGCTGTTCTAAAGAACTGTGGAACGAGGGACTTTAACTCACCACATAGCATCCCTACAGCAGCCATATATTTTATCAATTTAGCATGAAGCAGTCAGAAGTCAGAAACCAGGGAGAACCTAAACCTGGGAGGACAAACTAATATATCCAAGCTTAGTAATCTTACTCAGCAAATCCAAAGACAGGCTTGAATTCTAGAAGTGCAGAAACACTTGTTGGTCCTTCACATTTCCTAAACAACCCTCTTCAGAAACAGCTCCATCCAAATACGTATTTCTTATCTCCCGGATTTATACATATGTATAATTATGGCTTTTGTGGTTGTGTTTCAGTTCTTAGAAAACTGCACTATAAATAAGTAAATAAAAATTCTATGTCCCTGTATTTTATTTTGGTAAGGGAAAAAAAACAAAGTTGATATAAAGAGTTTCTTTTTTTTAAAAAAAGATTTTCTAGCATGTAAAATTTACAATTATTATTCGAAGGAGGTAAAGCTAGGTAGGACCACAGAACTTACTCAGATTTCTTTTATTACAATGTGGGTAGTTAGTCTATAAAAAATAGAGTAGATATTATTTGTTGCAGAAACTCAGAAACCCCGTGCATTTAGTGAATCCCAAAGCCCCTTTTCAATATTGTTGGATAAGCTACATATGTAGACTTAAATTTCTGTGTAAAGACACGAGATGAAACAGCACTTCTAGTAACTTGAGGAACTTTACCGTGCACCTGTACTGGCTTCCTTGTTACTTGGTAAGTTGTATCCTTCAGGGTCATTTTTGGTGTACCAAAAAAATGAGTGTAATGTCTGGATATTCAGATAAAGTGGGGTTTTGAGAAACCTTTAAGAAGAATCAGTTTTAACTAGAATTTTTACTTTACCTGCCTGAGAGGAAAGCAAGATGAGATTATCAATTTATGATATTTACTCGATTTTGTCTTCCATTTTTCTAAGAAAACTTTATAAAATAGAAGAGAAAACCCCCAAATGCTCATTTTTTTTCTATTTCAACAGGCATTAAGACACACTCTGTTTGAAAGTAACAAATCCTCTTTCTTCTCAATTATAGAAGTTCCCCAAATATGAATGCCTCTGTGTCTCTCCTCTCTCCTTTCTCTTCCTTCACTCCCTCTCTTTCTCCCATCCACCTTTCTTTTCTCCTTCCTCCATTTCCTTCCTTCCTCCTTTCTTCCTCCCTTCTTTCTTTCCTTCCTTCTTTTCCTTTTTCTCTTTCTCTTTGTCCTTTTATCCTCTATAAAGAGAAAAATTGGGGAGTACTTTCAGAAATAGTGTTTTAGGTTTTAGGAGCTCTATTTAAAAGAAAACAGTGCTCTTTTGTTGGTAGTAGGAACACGAGTCCAATTTTTTTCAGGCCAATGCTGGATCTCCTTAATTTAAAAAATCATGCTTTTTATATGATGACTCATTTATCACAGAATCATTTGCATAGAAAAAAGAAAAGAATAACTGGATGATGAAGTGGAGAACACTCCACTGCATTAAATTATTTTCAGTATATAAGTGCTTTATACTGGAGAAAGAAAAAGAATTTTATTTTTTATCCTTCCTCTGATAAAGTAATGCACTTTGCTATTAACAATAGCAAATGCTATTAACAATAGTCCTGCCTTTTAGCTTCAAGCACAGGTAAAATATTTCCCTGAGCCTCCCGTGGAGATTATTTGGGGTTCCAGTCTTCCCTGATCATTCTCAATCATTACTCCTTTGAAACATTTCTTCATTAGTAGCCCCCTATTTAACTTTATATGGGAACTTCTGATCCCTTATTTTCCCCATCTTTGACTTTTTCAAAAATGAAAATTGTTTTATTGATTTTTCACTAAAAATACTGCATGTCTGTTATTAAAATTATTAAATGCAGGAAAAGAAATAAAATAGAATATTCAGTATTCTATCATCTATAGATACCTTCTATAGATGAAGTGTTTGTTAGTGTTTTGATAAACATTCAGATTTTTTCCCTTCATTTCTTTCTGTCTTTGTGTATTCATCTATCCATCCATCCATCCATCCATCCATCCATCCATCCATCCATCCTTCTCTCTGTAACTTGCTGTCCTGGTCAGTAATATATCATGAACATCCTTTCATGCAATACATATTTAACTGTATCATGATTTTAAATGACTGCATAGTAAATCATTAAGAAGATTTACCTTAATTAGCCTTCCTTTAGAAGGCTTCCTTTAAAAAATTAAAAAAAAATTTTGCTTGCACTAATTCTAAAGTTCTAAAATGAGGTAGTGATTATACAAGGCAATGGAAACCATGAAGATAAGGGATGATTGTATAATAGGAAAACTTCCTATTGCAACTAGAACGATAAAAACCGTGTTTTGTTTTGTCCCCTGAGAAGTATGTTCATACAATTGGGTAATTTGTTTAGGAGGGATATACTTCTATAAAAATAAAGCTTATAGATAATAACTGCAAATGTCAGGTATGAACAGCTTTGGGTAGGGATGAGGGGGCGTGTAAATACTTAATATAAACTTCTGGAAAGAGTATAAAGTTGAAATCTGTGGCTTAGAAGAACCTGTAGAAGTCATTCCAGCCAAGTATAGGAGGCAAGGTCTTAGAGTATCACCATTAATTTCATGCCTTCTTGGCTGAAGGTAGTTTTTTTAAACTGAGGATCCAATTCATTCATTTATTCAACAAAATTGTGTTGATTATCCTTCTGGGCCAAGCATGGAGCTGGACACGAGCATACAGGGATAGAAAATGCTTGTTCTATCCCTAGGGTTCTCATGGGCTACCATTGGGGGAAGACTGGATAGTTGAATGCTTCTCAGGAAACTGCAGACGGCATCATTAAGAAAGGGAAATTCTGATGGCTTCAGAACCAAGGTGTGTCCTAGTCCGGGAACTCTTTTGAACTCATTACTTACAACTTTTTTTCTAAGTCCCCAAACACATCTCGGAAACCTATATTTTTAAGGTAGGTTGAAAGTCAGTCCTTCTGGTGCTAATTGGAACGTAGAGAGGAAAACCAGAGTGCTGGCTAGGGCTAGTTCTGAGAGTGAAGAATAAGGTACTAGACAACTTTTTGACATCTTACCATTTCTTGAGTGATTCCATACTGGCAGGTGCGTATGTGTAACATCATTATAGGAGGAAATAGTTGCCTGACTTACCAAGCTGGAGAGTCATATTCAGCAATTTGATTGCATATTATGATGACTTCAGGATTTGGTTAGAAGGTATTTATACCTGATTTTTAGGAAACTACAGTATATGCCCACTCTTACTGACATATACAAGGACCGAGAGATGAATTTTTACTGTCCAGGGGTTTTATCTAAGCTTCTTCAATTTCAATGTGCATAAAAGTCACCTAGACATCTTGCATTTAAATCTAGGGCAGTGCCTGAAATTCTGCATTTCCAAAATGCCTCCAGGTAATGCCAACTTTGCTGGTTAAATGGATGGCACTTTGAATAGCAGGGACCTAAGGTGTCTTCATGCTAATGAGAATTCACCTTTTGTAACTTCATCTATTTGTTTGCAGCTGTAGTGATGGTCCTCAACAGCATGAGTGTCAGCTGGAGCGCCCGGATCCAGATTTTCCTAACCTTTTGCAAGCTCACAGCAATTCTGATAATTATAGTGCCTGGAGTTATGCAGCTAATTAAAGGTATGGACTGGAAAGTAAATGCTTTTTAAAATACGTATCTGCTTTTGATCTTTCCTTGCACTAACTTTCACTTGTCTTAGCAGAATCCCTTAATTAGTCTCTGTTTCTGGAACTTAGACTCTACACTGTCATCTAATTGATTTGAAAGACTGCTGCATGGTGGTGGTGGGGGGGGGGTGCATTGGTATTTACAGCTGAATGGCAGCAAGAGAATTAAGACTGGGCCAACCAACAAAATAAGGCATCAGTGAATTCTATCCATATAAACTCTTTGGAGTGAGAACTTAAAGTGGAAAAACAAATCTGCCATTAGTTTTGACTACTGACAACTATACCTCTTACATTTACTTTAAACTAGTTCACTAATATAATAATAATAATGACTAAGGAGAAAGGATATCTGGAAAATAATGAAAGATGACCATAATTCTTTTACTCTATGGCTATAACTGCTTTTACCTTGAGAATAGAGTCTTGACAGAAGGAGAGATTATATGGGAAGAGCATTCCTAAAAACCAAATATTATCTGACAAAAAAGTTGTAAAAACTTAATTTTTATTGTTACATTATCTTTAAAGTAAAACATTCATTTCTATGGATATGTAATATTATTTGGGGGGAGTATTTGCCTAATAGATTTGACTGTTTAAGAGGAAAAGATGAAATGGTTGAAGAGGTGATGTTATTTAGAGTTTCAGTTGTTCTAGAGAAGAAGGTACATGTAATTGCTTGGATCCAGTGGAAGTTGTTGGAAAAGTATGAGATCCAGGTGAGTTATTTAATTAGCAATGGACTTAACAGTAGAAAATAGGAAAGTGAGATTAAATTGTGAAGGAGTGACATAATTTAGGAATGTTAAGTATTTAATGTTTACATTGATATTGTCCATTCCAGGAAGGGGAATTTATAGAGAAGTTTTATGAAGTTGCAGAAGAAGAATTACACAAAGCAAAAGGAAATGCCCAAATCCAGCAAAATCATCACTGATGGTAGAGGCCTCAAACAATAACAAACATTGAAAGATCCGTCACTCTGTAGCTAGGGAAAAGGAGCTGCTATTGTCCATTTACTAATGGAAGATCTTAGAACTCTCCTGGCTAAATGGTTGAATCAAATCCAGCAAGTTCAGCCAACTCAGAGTAAACACAATAAAGATTTTAATGCTATGCCCAACACCAAAGAGAAGACATGAGCTTGCTCTTCTAATTCACATCGGCCACCACAGAGCTGGCCTGCTCATTTTATCTGATCCATTATAAATATAGAGAAAATAACCTGTTTTGTTAGTGCTTTCTTTTTCTGGCTAACTCTTCAGTCTTCTCTAAGGAGTTTCTTCCATTTTTTGGAAAGTGCAGAGACCCTGGGTCATTGACCCTACCTTAGTTCTAGTTTAGGTTCCAAAAGATGATATACTATTCCTTAAAACTAAGTTTTTTTTTCTTTTTGATGTAATGTAAGACTGTAGTCATTTTTTTAACCACCTATTTATATATGTATGTGAGATGAGGTGAAGTTTTCCAAATGTTATTTTATTGGAAATTCCTTAAGAGCAGAGATCATAATTTATCTTTTGGGTCTTTTTCAACACTTAAAATAGAATGATTCTTTAATTAATATCTATGCTATCAGTGCTTAATATGAACAGGCATCCTTTTATAGCTCACCTAATAGAGAAATGCAGTAAGAATATTACCACATTTAAAGTGAATTTTAATATTTTAGAGAGCGTTTTTAGCAAGTAAATTTACGCTATTAGTACAAAGTGTTGATTTTTCTTTCTCTCTAACTTAATCACATATTTTTCACATTAATTTGTAACTCCAGGAAGAGAAAAGCTTTACTAATACAGAGTGTGCATTTATTTCCACTCTAATCAGATCCTGAAAACAGTTGTATGTTCTGTATTTACTTATGAGGATTTGTTAAATTTTCCTTTGACTATTATGACTTTCATATTTCTGAGACTTCTGTTATATAGCTAAAATATCCCAGATGTTTAGGAAAGCCTCTCTTTTGTAATACTTCCAAAATGAGACTTTTTAGGATTTCTGCTTTAGGACCTGATCTTTAATAAACGTTGGTTTTTCTTATTGCTTATTCAGTCCTGTACTCTTAGAATATTATCTCTTTAGGCCAAGGAGACCACAGGTCATGAGAAAAGAATATTCAACAGATGTTTTTATCTGAGCTCCAGTATTTATATTTCCCTTCAGTGAGGACACAGAGATGTTTTAATAAAACAGGCATTTCTGAATTCAATGTGTCATTTCTTTTTAAATGAACTATATTTTGGAACTGGATACTTTGAGGGAAAAATTATTTAGTGCACAACTCAACCTTCTCTATTTTTTATCTCAAAGCAGATTATATTAATATATATTGTTGTCTGGGCAACCCAGGCAACTACTGAGATTTCAGTGAAGAGAGAGGTTCATAATCACATAGATCATCCACCTCTCCTATCCTTCTTTTATTTCCTTAAGTGAAGACAAATTTTGAAACAAAGTCATATTTCCTGTTTGGGTGATTTCATTTGCCTTTTTCTTCAGAAAAGAGACACAGAAAACGAGACTTCAGAAAAGGGTCTGGCTGTGCTCCAGTGAAATTTTATTTACAAAAGAATCTTCTGAAGGGCAGATTTGGTCCTTAGGACTTTCCAACCACTGTGGGTATTTAATGGACTACAGGGGAAAACAGAGCAGAAAGAAAGTTAAATGATATGTGAAGGTGGTTCTTGGGTCTTGTCTCCTCATTGACAGTAGACCTGTGGATATTGCTTTCCAGGTGTAGAAGCCAAGGGTACTCTGCCTCAAGATGTTTATGCCACTTTGACATAAACATTATTTTGAGTTAAAAATAATCAAAACCCAGCAGATTCAGGAAAAGCTCTTTACCTCTCCTCAATTGCCTGCATATGCCCAGAAGAGAGATGTTAACAGATTCCTCTTTACCAAAGAAATTCATCTCACACAATAGGGCAACTTTTGTTTTCTAAAATCTCCTCTTACCTTCCTGTTAATGTTCTTTCTCCTCTTTGTATCCTCAGAAACTTACCTTCCTTCTTAGCTCATGTAACTCATATTGCCTCACTCTCTTTAGAATTTCCATGTCTGTGGGAGTTCCCCATACGTATGCTATTAAATTTGATTTTTTTCCTGTTAATCTGTTTCATGTTAGTTTAATTCTTAGTCCAGATAGAAGGACCTTGAAGGTCAGAGGAAATTCTTTCTCCCCGACATGAGCATTATATTATCATTATTTAAAAGAATTCTATCATACTCCTATAAACCATGTCTTACAGAATATTCTTTAGCCTTTTTTCATGCTCAAACTTTTTAAGAGTAGAGGCACACTCAAACAAGGAATTGCTTTGCTCTTTGCAATAATTTTATTACAAGAGAAATGTGAAATAGTGTTAGTAGTGATCAATATACTCTTGGGACTCCTCCTCTAGACTGGATACAGTATTAATAGATGAATCCGGCAATGAGCAAGGAGTGAGAAATCTGGACCTGAAACGGTATAGTTCATCCCCAACCTTCCCATTTCTTTCTCCATGTTTACAGTTAAAGAATGAACAATAACCAATTCTTTAAAAAGTCCTTAAATCTTTCTGTTGTCATTGCAGGGCAAACACAACACTTTAAAGATGCTTTCTCAGGAAGAGGTGCGAATATTATGGGGTTGCCACTAGCTTTTTATTATGGAATGTATGCATACGCTGGCTGGTAAGTTGATATCTCTAGATCTAGTGGTTTGTATGGTTTATTAATTCTTTCATGTACTTTGGTTAAGTGCCAAGCAAGGTGCTAGACAAGTGTGAATAGCTACAATCCAGCACAATCTGCTTTACTTGAAGTGAGAAAGATGGTGTGGCTCCCTCCATCAGGCCAATTACTATGTGTATGATTTAATGTAAGTGTAACTGAGTTTTTCAGTCAAGTTGACCATTAGATTTAGCCTGATGTTATAAAAAAAACAAACACATGTGGGTCTTCATGTTACCAAAAGATCTACTGCAGCCACTAACTCAGAAAACAAATGGGTAATTCTTGGTGCCCATTGCCAGAGCCAACTGCTCCATCCTGGGGAATCCTGAGGGGGGCTAGACAAATAGAAAGTACAGCTCCTGGCTGGGCTTGCCAATGCTGTTGCTGAATAAACTCAGATGAACTTGTTGCTAGAGAAGCCAACACCTCAAGTGATGAGGGTCTGGAAAAGGGAAAGAGAGAGATTTATTTCAGAAGCTGCCAGCTGGGGCAAGTGGCAGGCTCAAGCCTTAACAATCAACCTCTCTGCCTGTAAGATGGATGCTTAGAGTTTTATAGGGAAAGGTTCGGGGGTAAGTGCAAGAGAGCAGACAGGGTGCATGTAATCATGGTTGGAGTGGGCATGTGTTCAGCCTATGATTATGCATAGGGAAGGGGATGTGTGGGGTGTGGTCTTCTAGGCATTCTGTTGCTAACAGGGTTTTTCTGGTCCAGTGGTTAGTATGTTCGGTCATTGTAAAATGTCTCTGTGCCTCAAGAAAGTGCGATAATGAATAAGCACAATGGGTTTTGGTTACAGCTCGAGTTAAGTGTTCTTGTCTATTTCTGGTTTTAACTGTTAGAGTCTACAATTAAGCAAGAGAACTTGCTGGCATTAAGAACCAATACAAATCACTTATAAGTCTGTTTCAGTGAGGACATAATAGTGCCATGAGAAATTAAAGATTAATTCTTTGCTGTCAAAAGGCCTTTCACCTGAAGCTCCAAGGTTGTTTGTGAATAGTAATTATTGATTTTCTCTACTTTCCCTTGAGAATGAAATAATTCGGATATAGAAATAAGTAAGATGTTCCCAGAAGGTAAAAATGATACTCTAAAAGCAGGGTAGGAAAAACTAAGATAATGAAATCAGGTATAATAGATAGTTTGTTATATTTTAAAGGCTCTTACAAATTCCTCAAAATTTCCTCAACATTTAAGAACAAAATATGCAGGGAAGATGATTAAAATCACTATGATATGGTATATTTCCTTTGTGTATGTTCAACTGTGATAACCATTCTGGTTGGAGCATTAGAATTTTATATTCCTTATTTTATTCAGAAGCTTGAACAACAATAATCATGGTTAAGAGTGGGATTTTTTACTAGGTACATTTTATTGCTCTAATATTCAGTGGAAATGACTGTTACAAGAAAGCTACTGGGTAGAAAAGTATTGTTTAAACATCAAAATCATTGTAGTAACATTAAATTTCACTGTTTTGGGGTACTTAGTAGCAACATATCTTTAAAAAATATTTATAGAGCTACTAGTTGTACAGCTTTACCTGTGAGAATGGTCTATGAACATAAAGATAGTATCAGGAAACCACACTAACACAAAAATTATATAAATGCATTTAATATAAATTTTATTTACTTCTGCTTCTGTAGTTTTTAGAATCTTATCTTCCAGGGAATGCATGGAATATAAAGATATATTTCAAAATAAATGGAGTATTTACCTTATTGATCTCATGGAATTGTGAAAATATAGCATTAGAGGAAAATTGGGAGGGTCTAAGAACCTAAAATTTTAACCTAGTTTTTCAAGCAAAGCATGTTTGAAAGGCATTCGAAGATTGTAGCTCTAGGTAGTATAGTGTAGAATATTTGTATATTCGAGAAATATTCTTATAACCATTGTAAGATTTCTAGGTAGTATAGTGTAGAATATTTGTATATTCGAGAAATATTCTTATAACCATTGTCTGTAAGTATTAATCTTGAACCACGCAGTATATTTGAAGTCTTTTTAGTTTTGTCCAAATCACAATGTGGTGCTGGACAGAGAGAAGAACAGACTTGTGATCACAGGGTTAGTAGCCGAATCAACTATTCTATGGCTATTCAGCTTGGATCAAAGCTCTGGTGCCCTGGGGCAGCAGCCAAGCTACTGGGAGGGTAACCCAGAGACCAGAGTGAAGTGGGGAGGTGGTAAAAGCTTTCAGCTAGAGCCAAGTGTTGGGAGCCCAGCAATATTCAATCAGGAATTGTGGAATGTGGAGATAGTCACAAGGGAGATTTGATTAATTCTATTGAATGAGGTTTCTTTTGCCTGTGAGTACCATGCATCTGTTCCCACGGAATCTTAAAATATTCTTGTATCCAGCTCCATCTCCCACTACCGGCACCAAATATTCAGGTCACTAGCATCATGGAGAGCAAATCTCCTCCACTTCTGTAGGCTTTTGAGGGCTGATAGATTTTTCCATTTTTTTTTTCACTCTTTTCATTTTGAATTATCTTAATATCTAGTTTTATTGATGTTGAACCTAAAATGCCACTCTTGTTAAACTGATTTTAAAAAATAATTTAGGTGACATAGATAAACTTTATTTAACAACTCATGAAGTGGGCAGTCTGCTTTCAAGTGTCCAGAGAACTGCAAAATGGGATGGAAGACAAGAAGCTTTTTATAGGAGGAGCTTTTACAGAATTCTTTCAAAGAATAAGGGACAAGGAAAGGAGAAATAGAAAAGGGATAAGGAACAAGGAAATAAGTATAGATCCCAGAGTTGGTGTTTGGGGACTAAATGGCCCCATTTCGGGCCTAGACATGTATTTCAACGCTCTGTTTACAGGGAAAGTGCGGTTTACATGAACTTTTGTTTATACTTTTACTCATTTGATCCTTCTCTCTATTCCCTATTTTAAAGAATAGAAAACTGTTGATTTTTTCATGTTCTTAACGGGGGTTCAATTATAGTACTGGAAATGAAGGCCAGGATTTTAAGTGGAATGTAATCTGATACAAGTGTCTTGTGTAGAGACAGATAAGTAACTGCTTTTCTATAACAGGGCTGTTCTGCTACCTGAATGCTGCTTTGTGGAGAGGTAGAAATAATGTGGTGGTTATTCTGTGGCCGTCAGTCTTAGAGAAAGGAAGCCATGTCTAGAAGAACTAAGCACTTGGTTCAGAGTTCCAGAGGAAAAAAAAATTAATATCTGATTGAAAATGGAACAAGATGGAGATTAAAAGAGTTCACAGAGAGGGGTATTTATTCCCTTTCCAAATGTGATCCTGCCTCTCTGACCTCTCTCTGTCGTTCACAGTATCATGACAAGATTAGGTGGTGGAGTTATAAATGGGGCACTGTGAATGGGTCTCCACTCCCTGTGCTGCTGCTGTGACAACGTTTGATGCAAACAAAAAGTGTGTGTGTGTGTGTGTGTGTGTGTGTGTGGTGTCATTGCAAATAAGTCAGACAGAAGCAGCTACTGTCATCAGGACTCAGCCACCTAGGGTGTAAGTAGAAGCAGCAAGACCTTTGTTGGCCAAGAGGCCTTGCTCTGTCAGCAATTCAGCTTCTACATGGTGAATCGGAAAAAGACCCTGCCAAAACTTGGGTCTGAATAGAGTAGGCTTTTGGCTATGAGGAGTGCAGAACCTTTTTAGAATGATGAAAACTCCTTCACAGAAACATGATTGGGGGAAAGAAATCATTAACCCAGCCAGGTCACAGAGTTGGGGCAGAGCAACTTTAATATTATTGCCAATGTCTGCATTCAGAGAGATATGTCTGCCAGTCTTCCTTCTGGCCCAAGGGAACTCAACCAATTTCAGTCCTATATCCTGATCCAAAGCTGAATATTGCTTGGTGGGTTTTTTTTTTTAAACTGTGTAATAGAAAGTTTTTCAGTGTCTTTTTTCTCCCTTTTAAATCCTATCCTCAGTGGATTTAGACTTTCTAAAGCACCTGCTGGGATTATTTTGTACCATTGTTGTCAAATCTAATCTAAAGAATAAGCTTCTTTTTAAAATAATTCACATAGTTGGGTACTGGAATGCATTGCCAGCTTTGTGGTGCTTGTTTTACACAATTATGGAAAAGCTGAAACAATAGATCTTGTGAACGTTCTCTAGAGGCCTTGAGGAGATGTAAAGCAAGGAGAATGCTATGGACTCATTGCTGGAGACTAGGAGAGCATAAAGGTGTATTTCCCACAGGATGTGAATGTTTGGACCAAAATAAGAAGCTTTCTCCTTCACACCCCAACCCTGCCCCAAGCCCTTTCCTTTTCTCTATTCTCTGGAGCTATGGCAAATATTTGAAATTGTGTTCCTTTTTTCACAAATATTTCCTCTCTTGCTGTAAACATTGTTGGAAAACACCAGTTTCTGAAACAACTGTTGAGAAGGAACTGGATATTTTTGACATGAGAAACTGGGAAACATTTCTGAGTGTGTATGTGTTCTATTTGATATTTTGGGTTTCTTTTTTCTTTCTTTCATTCTCCCCCCACCCTGCATGTTCTTCCTGCATTTCCCATTGCTTTGGCCTTATAACAAACACAGGAAATTGCTTAAAGTGCATATGCCAGGTATAAGTATTGATTGTTGCTTGCCTTCCTGGTATAACTACAACCTTTATTTTTAGAAACTTACTTTCTAGTCATTAAAAAATATCCTTGACTGCTAACTTTTTAGATCACCTTTTCTGCTACTGTTTGGTCAGCTATTCAAATGTTTCTACCTAAGACAGTACTTAAAATATTAGATGTCTTAACCTTGTCAAAAGATAAACTGAGGCAGGGCACCTGGGTTGGTTAAGTGTCTGATTCTTGGTTTCGGCTCAGGTTGTGATCTCAGAGTCCTGAGACTGAGTCCCGAGTCAGGCTCCATGCAGTGTAGAATCTGCTTCAGATTCTCTCTCTCTCTCTCTCTGACTTGAAATAATAAATTAAATTAAATTAATTAAGTAATTAAATCCTCAAAAAAGATAAACTGAAGCATATTAAAATTGTTGACTTTAATTAAGAGTTTATTTGAGCAAAAGTTGATTTAATCCAGCAGCATTTAATTTAGCAGATAGAAAGGAGCTCTGAGGACTGTACAAAATGAGCCTTGTATAGGCAGAAGGGAGGGGAACAAAGAAGTTAGTGTAGGCAATAAAACAGGTTGGTTTTGACAAGGTTACTTTCATTTAAGCAATAGCGGGACCTATCAGGTGGATTACCTAGCTAATACTAATCAAGTGATTCCTGATTGGCTTAAAATACCATTACTGGGAGAGAAGAAACTGTAATTGTCTTGGTTTGGTGTTGGGGGCTTAGCATAAGTAACTCTATTTTGGACTTGCTGTCAAGTTTTTAACAACCACGAACATCGACTTCCTACTTGTAAATTTAGTTGGGTTATTATCAAGATGAAATAAGACATAAGACAGGTATTCTCTTTCTTGTTTTAAATTTGAGATACTCTGAGTATGTTAAAGTCTTATTGGGCTAATATTCTAGCCAATTGGTTTTAGGTAATAGAAAATTCATATTTATAGACCCAAGCTTCTGTGTACCTATGTAATGGCTGTTTTACCTTCTAAAGAATAATAAGAGAACAGAAGAATATTTTGAAAACATGCCTTTTTTATTTTGTGGAAATGGCCTAGCTTATCAAATGAAATGTCTTTGTCTTTATATGTTTCGCTCTTCCATTATGATCCCTTGGTTTTCCCATCTTCACAATTCAGCCATCTATGTATGCTTATTTGAGGATGGAGTCTGCCTCAATTGAATGTCTTACAACCTTGAAAAAGAACTGTAAGCACTTTAATGAGTCACCAGCCATTAGGAAAATTTGGATTAGAAAAATAAGGATGCAAGATGGCAGACATTTCTAGGTGAGATAAGTAGCATCACAAAGTAAAAGAAAGGAATCTGGAGGGCCATAATTTTAGGGTAATATTTGTAATCCTGTGAAACTTGAGAGTGAAATATTGTGTGCCTAGAATGCTTTTTATGTCATGCAAGGAGCCAGAAAAGTGTTTGGAACTTGGGAAACTTTTCCAAAATGTTTTGCCCTTTAGTTATCCACCAATAGTGTAATGATTAACAGCGTGTCAAGAAAGCAACTTCATAGTCTTATGATTTGAGGTTATTTGGATGGGCATATACCAGAAACCAGTGAATTGAAAAGGAAGAAGTGCAAACTGAGAAACTGTTATCTTTGATACCATTGTCAGTTCTACTTGCCCTTTTGTGTTTATATATGGCCAATTCCCTAAAACCGCGAAATGCTATTGTCAGACTTCTCTTGCCCTACAAGCTCTGATTGACTTGTCAACACAACTAAAATCTGGATTCCTGGAAGCCAAAGGCCATCTGGTACTTAGATTCTGTTCTTATGACTCCTGCTGCACTTTGCACTGCAAAATGATAAAGTGTTGCTCATACCCCTGTGCTCATGTGGTATACTCAGTCTGGAATGTTCTTATACCACTTCACTAGGGCTTGATGTTAAGCATTTCTGAAGACTCAACTTGAATGATGCCTTCTCTAGAAAAACTTTCTGACTTACCAGTCAGGGTTACACCTCACCCCTGTCTCTCATCGTGCTCTGTGCATGCTCCGGCACTGCTGCTTGTGCTGTGTTGCACTATTCTATTGGCCATTCTATAAACTATGAGCTCCTTTAGAAGAAATACTGTGGATTTCCCACTTTGTTTGCCCCAGTCACCGAAACATGATAATCTCCTATATTGCTGGGAGTGAAAAAAATGAGAAAAAAATAGTTTGATAGTAAACATACACCTACCCCATGATCCAGTGATGATATTCTGAATATATGCTGAAGAGAAATGATTGCATGGTCCACAACAAAACATGTACAGGCATATTTGTGGTATCTATTCATAACAACTCTAAGTTGGAAGCAATCCAAAACCATCAACAGTAGAATATATAGTGTAATAATATGATAAACAGCATCAATAAAAATAATGAATTTTTGCTACATGTAACAGCATGGATGAGACCACAAACAAAAGTTGGGGGAAAAAAGCCAAATGATAGTAATACAAGCAAATATTAGTTTATTGTGATGAAACAAGTAAAACTAACTAATCAAAGGTGATAAAAGTCAGACTAATAGTTGCCTTTACAAGAGAATGAAAGAGAGTATTGGCTGGTAAGGGCCATAAGGAAAACTTCTAGGGTTCTAGGAATGTTTTAACTCTTGGTCTTGTAAGTTCCAAAGGTGTATAAACATCTAAAAATTCATCAAGGTGTAGATTAAGATTTGTGCACTTTACATTCATATGTTATACCTATATAAAAATACTAAAAAAAATAACTATACATAAGGTTTAATAGAAAAATGATTTGTGGGAGCTTTGATTGTTGGAGATTTTTATCTTACAATAAGTATTTGTTTTTAAACTTTTTATAATTCTGATTTTGATTGTAAATTTTTGGATTATAATCATAAAATGTATTGATAATTCATAATTCATTTCATCTTTTTAGGTTCTATCTCAACTTTGTTACTGAAGAAGTGGAGAATCCTGAAAAGTAAGTGGCCGTATTTAATCTGAAATATTTGTGAGGAATAAAATGTAAGGTTATACAGTTGAAAAAGCAGACCCAGAAGGTACTCCGTGTGGGCTAATTTAACTTTAGCACTATCATCATCATCATCAAAATTTGTTTGACTTTACTCTAAATTAGATGTAAATGACTTTATTATATATTCTACATTTAATGCTAACTTATCTGATAACCTGAAAGTATAAAATAATAAAGTTATATTTTAGGTAATCCATTTTATAAAAGCCTATATGCAACTTAACGTGGACTTTCAGCTGTCCACAAATATTCCATAAGACATGAGCTCCAGAAACCGATTATTTCTAAAAATTCATATGAGGTTTTTCATAACTATTCAATTAAAGAGAATAATGTATTTAATAAACAATTAGTTATGGAAGCCTAGAAGTAACTGTAGAATACTTAGAACTTACACATTTTAGTAGCTGGAAGATTGCTTCTACTTTTTGTGTGTTAGGTAATACTTTTGATGGTTAGGTAATTTGACGATGATTTACATAATGTTCCTAAATTGAATTATTTTTAACTCAGAACTTAGACAAATGAATTTTGTGATTTGCATAAAAACATTTGACTTTATACAGGAAAGCAACATAATCTATGGGCAAAAGCGGGACATTTTTAGAAGTGCAATGTAAGAAATGGACTGAATTACAAAGTAGTTTCACTCATCTGGCAGTTATTAAACATCTACCATGTTTCAGTCATTGTGCTAGGAACTTCTTATATGATGAATAAGACTTGTATTCACAATTTTGTGGTCTAGTCAAATGTGTAAATAAATGAAAGTAACGTAGTATGCTATGATAGATTACTCGGTTTGACAGAGAGTAAAGGAAGAAATACTTAACTCTGTCTATGGGGATGTGCTTATTATATAGATTCTCAAATAATGAACAGGTGTTTTTAGGTAAAAAAGAGTGAGAAAGTGTGAGAGTGATAAATAGAAAAAGGGAGAGAGATGTCCCAAAACTGGGGGCAGGCTCAGGTCATGATCCCAGGGTCCTGGGGACTGGGTGGCTCAGGTCATGATCCCAGGGTCCTGGGACTGAATTCTGTATCAGGCTCCCTGCTCAGTGGGGAGCCTGCTTCTCCCTCTCCCTCTGCCTCTCCTCTGCTTGTGTTCATGCTCGCTCTCTCTCTCTTTCTCTCTCTCTCTCTCTCTGTGTCAAAGAAATAAAAAAAAATATTTAAAAAAGGAGACATGTACAAAGGTCAGTATGAAATTGCCTAGGTATCAGAGAATAAGCTCAAGTGTTCACAATTCACATTAAGGTAGGCAAAGAAATTCTGGCACTAAGTGTATCAGGAGGTAGTAAGCCAATTGGATCTGGCCAAGTACCGGGGTCATCAGCATTTTGAACAAGGAAACCAACAATTGAGGTTAAAATGATGTTTTATACTATCTGATTCAACTGTTATGCAAATCAATATGTAATTTAAACATGTGAAAGGGATATTTTATTGAGAAATATGAGAAATTTAGGACAGTACTCTCATATTTATAACTGGAATTGTGGTAGAGAACATTCACTTAGCAGGAACTAGTCTCTTCTAGCATTATTTTGAAATAAGCCACTTTATGACTCTAAATCTATTGATTGCAGAAATAAATAGGTTGCCCTGTTTTTAATGTTTTTGAGAATAGTGTGTAAGTGGTAACAGAGAACAGACTGCTCTTACTAGATTGTATATATATATATATATATATATATATATGTACTGAATTTCCATTGTATAAAAGAGTTTATGTCTTTTAAGTCTAAAGAGCCCAGTTACTAAAATCTAATATCAGAGAATATTTCTTATGAAAAAAAAATGGCAAGCTGTAGGTTTGTGGATGGAACCTATAATGTGACACTTGTTATATGGCACATCAGTGGCATAGTTTAGATTTTCTTGTAATGGTATTTAGCAGTTTAGGATCCCTGGGTGGCGCAGCGGTTTGGCGCCTGCCTTTGGCCCAGGGCGCGATCCTGGAGACCCGGGATCGAATCCCACATCGGGCTCCCGGTGCATGGAGCTTGCTTCTCCCTCTGCCTGTGTCTCTGCCTCTCTCTCTCTCTCTCTCTGTGACTATCGTAAAATAAAATTAAAAAATTTAAAAAAAATAATAAAAAATGGTATTTAGCAGTTTAAGTATAGTTTTATTTGCTGTATATATAATACTATTGTATATATTAAGCTATTTTAAAATTATTTATGCCATGATTCTGATCTGATATTCTGATGTATTCTGTTCTGTATTTCTGAACAGTATGCCAATCAAAGATTCTCTCTCTCTCTCTTTCTTAATTTAAGGGCCTTAGTTTCACACATTGATAATGTCTATGATTTAGTATGTACAACTACGAAAAAACAGTGTTGTATTTACTCAGTGTTTTTTTGTTGTTATTGCAAAGAAGTTTCCTCATCTCAAAAAAGTGAGGTTAATTATAGCACTTACTGAGTTGTGGTAATGAGTTAATATGTATAAAATGTTTAGATTAGTGACTATACTTTTTAATCTCTATATAATTGGTTGTTTTTATTATACTCATATTCCGATTTTAAGAACAACATAAAATCTTACTCATATAAGAGTATTTCCTTGGTTACAATATCCTAAGGAATTCTCCTTCTTCAGTATGTTTGAAAGAAATATGAAAAGTTTGTTCACACCATATTGAAGCCTGTTTCGCCATCTTTCAGCACTGAAATTGAATATGCATTTTATGATCTCTCCTCTTCTTTTGTACAGATTTCATTTAATTTTTTAAAAAGATTTTATTTATTTATTAGAGAGAGAGAGAGAGAGAGGCCAAAGGAAGAGGGAGAAGCAAACTCCCACTGAGCAGAGAGCCCAATGGTAGGCTAGATCGCAGGACCTTGAGATCATGACCTGAGCCAAAGGCAGACTTTAACTGACTGAGCCACCCATGAATCCCTAATTTTTTATATTTAGAAAAACTAAATATGTACTTAAAAAAAACATAAGATATGAGAGTTTCATAATAATTTTTTTAAATATTTTTATTTATTTATGATAGTCACACACAGAGAGAGAGAGAGAGAGAGAGAGAGAGAGAGAGAGAGAGAGGCAGAGACATAGGCAGAGGGAGAAGCAGGCTCCATGCACCGGGAGCCCAACGTGGGATTCAATCCCGGGTCTCCAGGATCACGCCCTGGGCCAAAGGCAGGCACCAAACCGCTGCGCCACCCAGGGATCCCCAGTTTCATAATAATTTAAAAGTAACTATCAAAATTGATTTAGACTGATTATCATCACTGGTTATGCCAGATGAAATATTTTCATTTTTTTTTGGAAATCATAATTCTGCAAAATTCATTAAGTATTTCTAGAATACTTTTGATTTGATATTTTAAGGTCTTAAACTAAGAAATTTCTCAGGAGAAATTAAGTAAGAATCTATGGAATTTGTCAATATAATTAGTAACTACTAAGATTTAACTTGAAGAAAGAAATCTCTGGAACCTTTCTGTTCTGCTGTACTAGATACTCCAATATTCAATTTTTACCTGAAAGATTCTGTATAAAACTTAGTTAATATGCTTTATCTTCTCAAAATCAGAATATGAGAAATCCACAAAATCCCCTTAATGGAAAGCAGAGATTAAATTTGTACTGTGTACTTATCAACGGAAGAAATTCAGGGTTTTAACTAACTTATTCAGTGTCTTAATTTTAAAAACAATATTTCCCTATAACGTCAGCAATCAGTCCAGGTCTCTTATTTTTTTTTATTTTTTTATTTTTTATTTTTTTTAGTCCAGGTCTCTTAAAACTGAATCTTATTTTTTAAACACAAGCAACAATTTGGGAAATATTAATGGTTGAACATAGAGAACAGGTGGTAAAATTATGTGAACCTCGTCTAGATGTGTAATTTGTATGATTTCGTAGGTAGATACAGCTCCAAACTATCTTTAGTTACAAGGGAGAATAATTATAATTCCATCTCCTTTGTGACATGCCAAGATAAATGTGTTTCCCAATCAGTCACGGGTGCATGTGTCCAGGTGTGCTGCAACGTGTAACTTTCTGGCAGCTGGTGAAATGAATCATCAGCTGAACATACAACACCTTTTACTATCCTCCTCCACCTAGGCAATAAAATTTTGCTAAAATTGTGACCTAATAGAAAAAGTGGTCATTAATTTAGATCACTGAAAATAACAATGTGATTTAAAATACATAGAATGTAGAATAAGGTTTCATGCTCACAATTGACTACCCTTTCCATATAATTTAATTTCAGTGGAAATCTTTCAAATTATCTAATGTCACTCTATGGAGTAATTTCAGGACTGCTATTATGAACATGACTTAGGGAACAGTTCCTTTAAGTGCAGTAACAAGTGAGGGGTAAACTGGGAGATGAATAAAATCAAATAACTAGCTCATGATTTCTTTTATTATTATCTCACTTTCTCTTTAAAGCTTGCAAAACACTAATCTTAAAAATTGGAGCAAAATACCTGCTATAGGATTGCATTTATAATGCTAAAAATGTTCTCAGTGTCTTTTTGTGTACTCTTCTCTAAGAGTAGCTTTGGATCTATGGAAGTAGGAATCCTTTAAGAGGGATTTAACATATTTATGTAAAATGACAGTAATTATCATTGAGATTTTCATAGCATTCAGTAATTATCTATAGCATGGTGATTGACTCCGTGAGGGTAAAAATAGTATTTTGAGGAGCAAGAATGTCTAAAGGTTGGACCATAAAGATGAAAGAATCTCACTGCATTTAAAGTGTCTTCCCATCAAATGAAATGCCTGGTAGTAGTAAGGATTGCTAATATGTACTTTGTTTTTAAAAACCAAAGTGTTTTTCTTTGCAAATATAATGAGTTTTGCCTATGACATTACTTGTATGGCAACTGTGCAATCTATCATTGTTCCCAAAGTTACACAGTGCAAAGAACATATCATTGAGATGTATAATGTTTGTAATCCTGCT